CTGCATAGCTCTAGACCTAATAAAGTTAAAACTGTTCAGCTATTTTTGGCACAGAGGTATGGGATCCCTATGGAAAAATCCCAAGACCTTTTGTGAGCGAGTGAATGATTAAAGCAAGAAAGGGGTACCATATACCATCCCATCAGTATACTTATCCAGTGCAGCCCACGGTAAAAAAAATTGAAATCAACTTGAATATAACAGCAATTTCGATTCTATCCGTCGCTGCTAGTCCCAGCTTCTGCGTAGCTCTAGACCTAATAAAGTTATACTGGTTTGTGACATGTTCAGCTATTTTTGGCATAGAGGTATGGGATCCCTATGGAAAAATCCCAAGACCGTTTGTGAGCAAGTGAATGATTAAAGCAAGAAAGGGGTACCATATACTATCCCATCAGCATACTTGTCCAGTGCAGCCTATGGTAAATGTTTCAACTACTACTCACCAAACCAAGACATCAAATTGTTGTACAATATACGGAAATAAATAATATAGGAAAGAAACGCATCAATGTCAACAAGCTAAGCCATAGTCATATTAATTTTGGGGTCACTCCTAGAATCATTTTTTGCCGTTCTATTCAATCCAGACCTGCCTCTGATAAAATAAAGAAGATCCATCATGTAATAACTAGAGTATAGTAAAATGCAATGTTATTAAAAATGGCCCGGCCCGGCCCGGCCGGTTCAACCGGGAACCAAAACCTGGTCAATCATGCCCGGTTCACCGACTAGCACAAAAACTACTCAAAACCAGCCAAACCAGTCAGTTTAACCGTGAACCGGTGACCCGGTGGCAATTTAACAAATTTTTAATTTAAAATTTTTTAACTTTTTTTATTAATGGGCCTCATACACTATATTTATCAAAGGCCCACAGATGAATTTTGGATGGCATGCTCCTTTAATAGATGCACTTCTCTAAAATGATTTCATAAACTTTCAATGTAGGATAGTAGTATTATAGATCCACTTCTTTCCAGTATTTTCATGAACTTCCAATGTGGGATAATGGAATAACAAAAAAGGTTAAAATGCCCATCAAAACCATTTTCCGAGACACATATATGATTTTGAATCCCAACTAACTAAATTGTAATATCCACTTCCATCTTTTCATTTATTTAATTTTCAAATTTAACTAAAATTACACTTGATAATGAATCTCATTAACAAATATATATTTACTTTGAATTATTAATATGAAAATTGAAAAATTATTGATTTCTTAGTATTTTATTGTTTTGTGTATATTTATTTATTTATTGCTTCCAGTTCGACAAAGGTTGAACCTTTTGACCCTTCACCTTTCCGGATCGATGACCGAGTCTATTTTCAAAACATTGGTAAAAAGTGAACAAGTAAAGAGAACTTAATAGTGGATAAAGAGCAAGAAATGATTGGTATAATAATAGAACACTGTAATAATACATGATTCTTGCTAGATATTAAACTATCTTAACTTACAAGAAAATAAAGTACTAAAATATTAGAAATATTGTTTAAATACAAAGTAACGCTGGTGTGTCAATAGATTAGAAAATAAAGTAGCAAAATGGAATCACGCATTACTACATAAGAGTAATACACAATTCCAACTGAAGCACAAACTAACTAGCCTGTTAAGCGCATAAACTACTAGAATATGGATGTATGATTTATATATAAAGTAATGTTGATATGTATATTAATGAAGAATTACCTAGTATAGAGAATAAAGTAGCAAAAATTATCACCTCTTTCCAATCAGGGATTCCACCCTCTGGAACCCAAATAGGATGGTCAAACTTGCAGCTCTCTCCATACTTACACGTTCTTGTTTGCATATAAAAGGCACAGTCCTTCTCTCCTGGCCTCTGGGGATAAATGGGCAAATGGCTTGTATTCTCGTATCTAGGGCGCTTGGCTAAAGGGTTTGCTGAATACCAAGCTTCAGTTTGCCCAAATGTGCTATGGGCACCCAAAATGGTTTGATGATAGAGTGCTAGGTAGATAGTAGACACATATAGACAAGAAACCAAAATATACGTTATTGTATAAATATGATTTTTATTTATACGAGGAATAATAGAACATATTACTAGAAAGAAATGAAGCCAATGAGTGTTGGTGTATATTTTAAAAAATATAAAATATACGTTTGAAGCATTAACTTATATGCTCTAGTCCATATCTTTCATACTAACCATAAATAAATTATATTCTATAAGCATTTAGTTAAAAATCAGTAGCGCGACCATACCACATTTGTGGATTTACATAGTGGATTTCTACATCTTATACTAGAGCAAGTGTGTACATATAGATTAAAGCCATGAAAGTTTGATACATCCATTTAGAAGTTGGACTTCTTATCCTTTCAGAGAAATCATAAATTTGTTTATATTCAACAAACAATCAGTTCATAGTGACCAGCACGACCATACCCATGACTGTGGATTTACGCAGTGAAGTTCTCCACTTTATACTAGACATATAATAATAGAAATGCCTTTTCAATTCATCCCAATAATCAATTCTATAAATTGATAACATAAAGAACATAATTATAGGAAGTATTTTTATGTATACAACCATTTATTTTATATGTCTCAACCCGAAGCAAACTTAACATCAATGAGTAAATAAAAATATAAAATCAGAATCTATATAAAACTCGTGGAAAAAATTCCAACTCTCTTTCCTTAGCCATTTTCTTAATTGAAGCCTCCTTGAGAAGGCTTACATAACGAAGCAGAGGATTTACATCAAGCAAACATGAGGTGTATTTATAACTATATAGAACTAAGTATAGGTACATCTTTGAAAAAGAGATGCCAATGTCACCCACAATGTCCATTGACTTTAAACTATTTTAATGAAAAAAATAATAATAATTGGCATATTACACAACATAGAAACAGATTATTTTTACTAGGAACTGTACTGCACTTCAAAAATTTCGAAATAAATTTCTATTTAGATTTTACACCTTTAACTCTCGCTTATTTGACTCCTGTAAATAATATAAGGGTCCGTCTGATTGATTTAAATTCCTTAGAAAATGTCACATCCGAGGAATTCAAGTTTTACTTTGGCTGTTTGATATGAAAATGGAAATGGAGTTCGAATTCCAAGCTAAAACCACTTTAAACTTGTTTTTTACCAATTTCATGGAAAATGCATTCCCATGGGGTACTTGGGTTTTTATTTTCCAACTTACATGGAATTGGAAAGCATTTCCACCTTTGTCAATCAAACGGACCCTAAAATCCAAACAAAACCCAAAAACAATTTTCAATTAAGCATCATATACAAGCTACCAGCTGTAATATCCAGGTGTGAAGTTATTTCTGCACGAACAGTTCATTGTTTACTACAGATGAATTCTTTTTTTTTATAGGTAATCCAATAATTTTATTAATAAAAAAAGAATACACACATGTTCTGCTGATTATATATATCTAGACATGGTGAATACACGTCCACTACCTGCAACAGTAAGATTTTGCACCAAACATTATCTGAGTTTTAAGTTCACTATGAGTAAATTCAATAAACTTTCTCCTTGCCTCAAAACAGGACTGTCCCTCCCATTCAAAATATCAACATGCCGTGAACCTAGCCAATAAGATAGTATAGTCCTGCGTACGTCGTCTTAAGAATACATGCATTACTAACATGAGTAAACTGTCATAAATCATTTGGAGGAATATTGTAGATTAATTTTGCATCTCGAGCAGCATTCAAATTAAAAGCAGTGCAAGTGAACCATAGCTACGTTCTACCAGACAAAATTACGGAAAAAAACAGATCACAACAAAAAAAGAATAAAAGAAAAACAGTAACAAATAGAAATTCCTTACTTTCGGCAGAAGGGCGTTTCAACCCAGAGTAAATAGTGTCGCTAGGCTCAACTGCAGGCCCCACATCGACGCCAGGTGGTCCATACGAATGTGTGGGAGTGGTGACGGAGAAACCGGGAATTCTAGAATAGTAGCTGTCCGAGTTGTAGAACATTGTGGAGGAAATGGCGGAGGATGACGAAAGTGCGTCGGAGCTAAGGTATTTTGCGGAGGTACCGAGCAATGAGGTGGCGCCGGGGATGTAGGGTTCAGTGACGGATCGAGAGCTGTAGAGACTACTGGCAGCGGCGCCTCCACCGCTGTAGCTGCTGCGGTTGTAGCCGTACAGATGGTTCGCCATTTTAGGAGGGAGAATAAAAAAGGTTGAACCCTAACACCAAAAGGAAATTGAGGTGCCGGTTTGTTTTTTTCTGGCTCAGAAAAATAAAAATAATAAAACAAAATTACTGGATTGCCGATTAATTAATAAATCGAAAGTAATTAAGTGCTTATTTCACATTCATTAATTTATTTTATGATTTATTATATGATCATTTTCAATCACATATTCGCACAATAAAATATTGAATTAATTTATGTGTATATTTGTGGACTCTCCTCTATGTGATGGAGGTGTGAAACATTGTGTACACGTAACATTTCCCTAAAATATTTTACACGTGTATAAAAAAAAATTCCTTACCTTTTAAACACACATTTTTCTAAAAATATTATTCAAAACTCATTTTTCCTTATTAATGAGAATCAAACAGCCTCTAAAAGTATTGTTCTGTTTTTAGGAGTGAAATGTTTCAAAAATCACTCAACTTATACTATGATCACAAATTTCTCACTGAATTTCAAAATGCTTCAACTAACTCATTAATTTTTCTCGTTTACATTTCAACTACCACCCTCAAAAAATTCATTACCTTAACATTGACAAGGCCGATGGAACGTCGATGGACATTTAATGACCGTTAAACAAATGACAAATCATTCATCTAAAAATAAAATTAAAAAATTTTCTTACATTTTAACCACACATTTTTTTAAAAATATTGTTTGAAATTCATTTTTCCTAATTAATGAAAATCAAACAGCATCTAGAAGTATTGTTCAGTTTTTACTATGATCACAAATTTCTCACTGAATTTCAAAATGCTTCAACTTGCTCACTATTTTTTCTTGTTTACAGTTCAACTATCACCCTCCAAAAATTCATTACCTTAACATTGACAAGACCGACGGAACGTCGATGAACGTTTAATGACCATTAAACGTATGACAAATCACTCGTCTGAAAATAAAATAAAATAAATTCTTCTTTCAAAACAAAACAGACACCATTTGCCCCAAATCGTCAATCGTTATCTCCAAATCAACACAAGCGATAGAACTTCGAGGATCGGAGCTACACGAGTTAAATTCACTAATGGTCAGCCAACTTTATACTTCATGTCATCATGGCTTAGTGTCACCAAGCCACCTCATTTGATTTTATTTCACCGTATCCATCCAGTGTCATATAACGTTTTACCATGACCAATCAATTTTATATAATATTTTACCATGACCACCTAACTTCTTTTCACCATTTTTATTAA